CCGTGTTAAGGTAAAATGGTAGACATCACGTGCAGGGCAGTCAAACCTTCACTATGTAAGTGGACAACACGATTAAAATTTAAAGTAATGAACAAAGCGCTTGTGATAGTGACTTCTGGAAATATGACAAGCGTTTCTTCGGATACGTTCTTGCGTTGGATCAACTAATAGATACGTTGAAGGTACAGTACCATCACAGAACTCAATGTCGTATGCAGCTCACATCATGGGCTAAGATTCAGGTATTAATGATGGACATCGAATACTAGGCAGTACTATCTATAACTATGCAAGTGAGCTACGCAAATGAAAACTAGCGTCACGGCAGCAGCGGTTGGATGGAGAGGCCTGGTTGTATGACCAGCATTTCTTCGGATACGTTCTTTCGTTGAAATCCGCCAATGGGTACGTTGATGGCGAAGTGGCATCAGTGGAATCTACTATTAATGGAAGTTCTAAATGCATCGCTTAGATGCATTGACCGCCCACTTAAACGATGATTTAAACGGTAAAATTCAAAGCTAGGATTATTAGGTTTTCAACTCGAAATGAAGTCGATACAAAAGAAACGCCAGAGTTCTGAAATTTTACTCTAATTATAAACTGTAGTACTAGTAACGTTAGTTTTTTTCAATGAAATTTACAAAACGTATGTGTCTAACAAGAATAAATTCACGTAATATTTGTAAAATAAAAGCATCGGTTCGATGAGTTTGAATATACTAGTATTTTTCGGTATTGGTTGTGTACAGATGAGGACATGGCGGTAGCTCAAATAGGACGAATGATTCATGCTTTACATTCCCACTTTCGATTTTACTGCCAACTAAGCAACACCCTCATCTTTCGTACAATTCGCCGTCGACGTCGATGGACCTGCTGAAGGCTATCCAAAACGACGTACTCAAGCAAATGGAGGAAGAAACGCAAAACCAGTTCTCAAGCGTGGCGGACTTCAGGGAGTTCATCCTGGTTTCACATCCAAGTGCCGATGTAAGCGTGTCGCTCACCATGTGCTGCCTTCATTCGGAGCGTCTTCATGGCCACCATGGAACTCGTGTCACGTTGGTCGATGCTGCACAACGTGACGTGTTCGAGCCGACATCAAATGCTCTGGCTGACTTGACACCGCTGAAACGCAAACCGTATCTGGTTCAAGTGACCGTGTGGGATGCCAAGCCGAAGAAGGGTGTGGCTGGCAAGCGCAACCTTGAGTTTGAGCCCGGTGCTGTGTACAAATTCTCCCATGCCGATGGAGTGGGGTTTTACGCCGACATAGCTAAGGGAAGCATTCAATACGAACTCGCCAACAACAACAAGATTTGCGAGATCAAGGCACCACTTAAAAAGCGCAAGGTGTTCAGTGAGACATCGCCACAGCCACTGGTATCCAAGGCTAAAGTATTGGAGGGCAACACGGGTGTTTCGGGGTTGCGCTCAACGAACGGTGACGTTGTGATGACTTCGGAGAGCAAGACCGAGGAAAATCGTCCAGTCGTGACGACGCGCAGCAAGCGTCACCCATGATGGAAGAACAGACTCGACACGTGTAGTAGGAACTGCCCAATTGTATACCCGTGAAATAGTAGCAATGTTGCTTTAGTAATTGCTAGGGTGAGGTGTAGCTAGCATTTATAAACTTGCCTTCATTAATTGTACCGTAACGTAACTATCGCAAGGAAAAAAATCGTTTTGCTGTAATGCAATGCTATGACATTAACTTGAATTGATATTGAAGAAGTAGTCTAAGCTGAATGATATACAGTCCCCAAATATCGTCGTACTCTTGGCGGATTGCCATTCCTGTAGTACTGCTAGGTGTTGAAGGGTTGGAGATCAAAGAGGCAGTTTTACTTGAGTGCGAGCCGTCATTTACGATTTCGATCGCTTCTTCCTGGATCCGTCTTTACACGACTAACGGGTATGAAACAGCTTAAGCTAGACTCATTCTTTCTTCGACGGGGGAGTTAACAGGATCGCATTGGGCCTCCGGCATCAGTACGTAATATGTGTCGAGCACAACAATGCTCAATATACTGACATTCATTACATCTAGGTGCGCCAAGAGCGTTCCGTGCTGCAGTCATTCGCCGAGTACGAGGAAGCGGAACAAAATGTATACGTGTGTAGACCTCGCAATACGCCCACGGTAATGAAAACATGAACACTTCCATTAAAGCATGAGCACTTATTTTCATACTTTGAATAGCTCGACATTCCATACTGCAAGTGTCGGCCTTTTGCTGACTGGATGTTGACATGCATTTCTGGCTGTGAAAACCAAGCGGTAGGTGAAGTTAACCATGTTTAGCACGTTTGTGTGGATAAGGTGCGTGACCAAAGTTGTTAGACACAAACAGAGTGCGTGAAGGGTTACTGCGCTTCAAATTACAAATGTGGAAATCAACGAATGCAGCGTGGAGTCCACGCAGACCTATCGCTGGCTTACCTCCCTGGCAAAGGCATCTCATTGATGGCTGCCATGCCAATCGAGCGCGATTCATTGATTATTCAGTACGTAGGTGAAGTCATAAGTCGAGCGATGTACCTGGAGCGTGAAAAAAAGGTGAAGTACTACGTGGTTGTCGTTATTAGTGGCTTTACGCAGGTATCCAACGTTGTTTTGTAGGAAACCCAGTGCTCTCCCCATTCGTACGGCTTAGCCGTTAATTCAAACGAGGTGATCGATGCCCGCTTTGTTGGAGGGATAGGCCGGTTCGCAAACCATAGTTGATCGCCCAATTGTATTGTCGAGCGCTGGGAGGTTGCTGGCGAAACATGCTGCGGGATCTTCGCCAAAAACGCTATTGGCGAGGGAGAAGAGGTCACCATCAAGTACGGAAGAGCATTTGTGCAAGCAGAGGTAACCTGAATGTATGCCGTTAAACTCACCGTTCGCTAACTTTGTTTTTCAGAAACAAAAGCGATGCTGTTGTGGTTCTATTAATTGCACAGGGTTCATGTGAAGCAATATGGTT